CCTCCCAGATCTCCAGATGCATTTGAGATATCAAAAAAGTACTCCAGAGTGTTGTTCAGCATGGGGGTGAGTAGAAAATGAAGGCTAATCATGTTTTGGGTGTACTATTCCTTTAATGTCCATGTATCTTTGAGCTGATGACAATAACAAACATAACCCCTAAATTAACTGACATAATTAACTTTCATTTACTACGGAAGAATATTAGGGCCACTGAAAAAAATGTAAAAAGTTCAGTGGTTTTAAAATTTTATTTCAGTTTAATATGGGGTCAGAATTCTGACTTTTTTCCCATATTAAACTGAAATAGAATTTAAAATCAGTTAACTTTTTTTTTTCTGTAGCCCTAATCCTCTTCAGTAATTTTCAAATTCACATATCTATTCATCAGGTTTTATTGACAGCTATTTTACTCTGCAGCATCGATGCCGTGAACTGACTGTGTTTAGGACCCGGCGGAAGCCTGGCGCCCAGGCCGTCCGCAGAGCGAGCGGCGCATCTAGGTGGGTTGGCCGGCCGGGGTGGTGGAGGACGGGGGAAGAAGAGGAAGGAGGCTCCGGGAGCAAGCGAGACAAAAAAAGGGTCAGGCGTGGGACTTGGGAAAACTGGGTAACGAACACACGTTGATTGAGTCTTTTTTTTTATCGACCCGTTGAAGCCGCAGCTCGCTCCGCGCGCAGGAAGGGAAAAACCTTTATGTGAACAAAAACCCAGAGAGCGGAAGGCGCACGGTGGAAACGGGGAAATAACCAAATGTGGGGGGCCGCTTTCCTTCCAGATGATGCTGATTGGACACCCGGAGGTGAACTTGACCGTATTTAGAGCACAGAAGCAGCTTCGCGGCTTGGTAACAACACATTAGGCGGACTAAAGCAAATAACGGGGATTGAGTAGCCGTGGCCTGTAAAACAGCCACCATCCACTGGCTCCCACTGCTGCAGAACACCAATAAAACTCTGCAGTTTGAAAGCAGAGACAGTAGAATTACACATGCTCCTGACTCTGATCGTTTCACTGGAAGCGTGTGGCTCAGATGAAGCTGATTTGGAGCAGAAGAAAACGCATGAGTGACCCTCAAAGCGTCTGGGAGAAAATCTCGTAACGCATTCTGTTTGGCTGCAGAAAGAGCGTCCATCGCATCTGGCCTTTGATTCCTTAAGAGAATTATAGGTTTTTGCTTTTGATCATCAAATCAAATAAAAGAGGCTGTTTGTCAGGAAAATCACATTTTCCACGAGTGCAGCAGTGAGCTCCGCTGTGTGCGCATGGCAGGCTGCTGGAGTAACTTTAGCCCATGTGCAGATGAAATATTAATGCACAAAAATGTGTGCAACAGTCTAATGATCCTGCAGCATTAAACAGTCCACATTAGAACCCATGCCATTTAATAAAGACTGCAGCTCGGCCACGCATGCATGCGGTGTGAAAGGGCCTGCAGGCTATAGTCGCCATACAGTATATCTATAGAAGCCAGTATGGGTCCTATAGCTGCGTGACGTGAACTCAACAAAGAGAAATCTGAGTCTCAGAGTAAAGCCAAGTTGAAGTGAGGAAATATGTAGAAAATACTTCAGGGTTGGGATGTGTTGCTTTGCATGGCACACTGCTGCAGATCCTGATGTTCAATTAGTGCAACACTAATTGAAAAGCTGATTGGTTTTGTTTTCATCACTAAGCACTAGTTGTTATTAGTTTATTTACAGTAAGTAAATAAACTAATAAATATATATTAAGATAAAGTAATTTAGTGTCTTTTATTTTATCATATGATTGTTAGAAATGCACTGATCAGCCCTATCATGGCCGCTTTCCTGTTCTCTCAAAGTTTTGACTTGCGGATTCTGATTTTGACCAACTCCACTTTTTGAAATATGAAAGAAAAATAAACCCTGCAGAATATTTAGAAATGACAAGATGTTCCTCTTGTGCATAATAGCACATGTCCCTCATTTAGATTTCTATTTAGCTAAAAAAGGTTCATATGAATAAATGTTCTTAGTTGATGCGTTTAAAGAACAAGGAAAGTGGGACTTAGTGTGATTGCATTTGACAAATATAAAAAAAAGGTTTAAGTTTAGTTCAGTGACATTATTACTAATTACTACCTTCACAGGCAGGGTTGGTTTATTGATTATTGCATCTGTAACAGATATGTTATAACCCAGAAAAATTATGATTTTCCTATGATTCGTTTTTGTTTTGTTCCACTAAAGATTGAACCAAATGCTCTATAGGTCTCCATAGACCAAGAGAAACCACATCGTTACCCTTTCTTAAAATAAACATAATCCTGTTTCTCAGCCCTTTTTTACTCCTGTCATTTCCAAAATACCCCTAAATTCTATATAATAGTGTTTTGTACTTTTTACAAATGTAGGCTGACTATAACAAAACACAGGTGGGTGATTTGGATTATTTATTTCCACTGCAGGTTTTCACAGAAATATAAAAGTTTTTTGTTTTTGTTTTTTTTTATTAAAAAAAAAAACAGTTTTGTCTGTTTCAGTTAAAAACGTCACAAGAATTGAGCCAAATAGATAGCTTTCAGAAAAAAATCTTTCATTTAAAGGGATTTTGAAACAGATTTTGTTGCATTCAACTGAAATTCTTCTTCTATGTGTTTAATTGCTGCCAAATTTAGCTGAAATCCAAACGCCTTTCTGAATAGACTGGATTAAAGTGTTAAGAGAGGGAACTAAATGTGTGATGTCACCAGAGACGTGTGTGAGGAAGTTTATCTTTGGAGGCCAGATTTAATCTTGTATTAATAATAATTTAGCAAAATTAAAAAACAAAACAAAAACAGGACCAATAGATAATAAGATATAGATAATAAACTGAATTTGATTGATTTTACAGACATGTTTACCTGATAGCTTTAAACGTCTAATCTGACAGAACTGATCTCCATGTTTATTCATTCAGAAACTTAAGAGAGTTTAAATTAATGCTTTTTTATGAAAAAAATAATAATTTCAGGCTTAATAATTTTTTTTTTTTTTTATATATGAAATAAATATTATTTCATATAAAGTGGATCTAACGGAATATTTCTTGCTTCTTCTTTTTCTATTCTAGGAGAGAAGAGAAGAAAGGTCATTTCTAATTTCCTCATTTTTTTCTCCATTTTTAAGTTAATTTTCTCTGGAAACTTCCTATTTTTAACGCCATTCATCCCTCCATCCCTCATAAGCCTGCAAGACTCAACAATGCCATCCAACGCTGTCACCAACACCAACTCCACCTCCTGCAAAGGCTTGGATTTCACAGATTCACCCGTAAACAGAAAGGTAAGTTTCTGCTGTTGGCCATATAGAATTCCACGTGATGCTGAAAACTGTCCTCAGTGGACTGCAGTTCTCTCCTGTTAGTGGTCGCAGAAGTGTTTCCAGAATCCACGCATGTATT